ATTATAATTCTAAAAAATCCAAGAATAATTTACTGTTAGTAGATAGATCGGTAAGTAAGATATGTAACTTAAAATGAATTGGTACGTAAGTAAGTAACATGTTAATTTATTTATTGTTCATTCATTGTACAAATACAAACTAATCATATATTTAGAGTCGAAAAATCTATAATTAAAAAATAATCGATATTTAAATTAAATACTTTGTTGTTTTACATTAACATCACAGATGGCGTTGTTTACATTTCATTATTTCACATAATTAACTAGCAACGTTTGTTTAGGTTTTATTAATTAATTAAATAAACAATCATGAGTGGAGATATCAATTTTAAATGTATTTGTAGACTATCGTCAAATGATCAGTGTGTGATCGCTCCCAAGACTTAATTACTCGAAGCAAAATTAATTGCCTGATAATCTAACATAAATAAGATAACATGTTTGAACTTTATATTATAAATAAATGCTCTCGTAAATGTGTATAGGTAATAACAATAATTATTATAATTGATAAAACTGTTACGACATCTGTATATTTTCCATGTGAATATGGAGTAAGAAATAGGAAAGACGCCATTTTGTTTGCGATCATAGAATGCTTTTTTTTTGGAATAAGAAGGTATCTTAAGATAATTGGAGTCTTAGTATGGTAATAGATTAATAATTAATTTGATGTTACACATTACTATTTTACCAGAGGGAGACTTTGTACAAAAGTCTAATGCTTGGGTACCTCTGTCCCATTCGTGTTTCTACCGTGAAGCAGCTGTGTTTGCATAATTGTGTTTCGGTTTGAAGGGTGGAATATGGCGTGAATTTACTGGGTACAGAGGAATAACACCTGAGTCCTCAGGAATGGCAACGCATGGGGGGTATCATGGGTGAAACAATATACTCTGTTATGTCCATGGTACTGCACATGTCTATAGGCGACGGTTACCACTTTCCATCAGGTGGGCCGTCAGCTTGTTTGCCATTCTAAGTTGTATAAAAAAAAACTTTGTCAGGGATAAAACTAGCATATGTCATTACAGAGCAACAATTTAATTATTGCAAAAAAAAATCTAATGTTTAATCAGACACTATTTATTTGGTATATTTAATAATTTTAAAGAAATCTTATTTGTCTTATATATTCCTAAAGATGTTTAGAATTGTAAATAATATTACTATCTAGCTAAAGCAATCGAATTAGCAATGAGGAGGTCCTGCTTAGGGTTAAGGAAAAACGACAAATTATTAGAACTATTGAGGACAGAAGGGGGAAAATGTTGGGACACTTGATACGACACGACGAACTTATGAACATTATAATAGAAGGTAAGATGGAAGGAAGAAGGGGGAGAGGGAGACCGAGACATAGTTAGATCAGGCAGATCAAGGAAGGAGTTGGTGTCGTGTCGTATCAAGAGGTGAAGAGACTCGCTGAAAATCGTAGTGAGTGGCAAGAGCTCCACCGACAAGAGCGCAACTCTTAAATGGATAGATAGATAGAGCTAAAGCAAGTTAAATAGAGAGAGAAAAAAAACTAAATACCGATTCGAAATGGACTTAATGCGATACATTATGAGTATTATATAATATGAACAGTATTTACTCCACAAACAGAAGCTCGTGCCAAAATTGTATAGAACAACTGTACAAATATAAAATTTATACAATATTTAAACAATGACCGCAGCTAGACATTTCATTTATACATAGTTTTATAATTATATTGAGCATGTATAAAATTAGTATAAGTCTGATAAAACTATCATCGTCACTTTTAGTGTATTAAAAGAATAAAAAAAAAAAATAAAGAGTGGAAAAAGTAATAATTACTATATTGCGAGAATTTCCACTAGATGGAGTGACGATCTCAAATGTATTGCAGACTGTCAGTGGATATAGGTGGCCTAGGACAATGCTTTATGGCAGTCTATGGAGGAGGCCTATGTTCAGCTGTGGACGGATAATGGCTGGGATGACGATGACGATGACATTGTTGGAAAAATACGTTCAATTGTGATAATTTTACTTAGAAGGTAATCGATAAAAATATCTTGCAAGTTATCTCGATAGAAAGTATTTTAGTATATTTATTAAATTCATTATATATATAGTTGATTTATTACTAACCTTTGTATGTGACCACGTGACAGGGATATTTTTTTTTGATGTGTGAAAATGGTATGGTAACTCCGCCTGCGCTAACGGGATACGCTGGTGAAGCACCAGTGAAGGGTGATAGATGAGAATGAAAACAGGTCAGTTAGCCCATCATGATGAATTCATCAGGAATTAACCATGATAGTTTCCAGAGAAAACCACGAGGAGGTCGACCTGGTTGGGTATATTGCTAGCAATAGGATTCTCAGTCTCCATTACTAACAATCCCTTTCCCCCTCGTGACAGGGATATTTATTTATTTAATTAAAGACAGCCAACAAAACATACATTTATATTTAACAAATCATATTTAGTTACATTATAAAATGCTGGCTTAATTAATGGCCAATTTTTTAAATAAATGACAATAGAATGGTCAGCCCGCCTACGCTATCAGTATACACCGGCTGGACACCAGTGAGAGGTGATAGGTGAGGATGAAAACGCAGGCCAATTAGCTCATCGTGGCAAATACAACGAAAAATTATTCACGAAGGTTTCCCGGGGGAACGGTGTGGAGGTCAACCTGATAGGGTATACTGATAGTAATGGGGACTAATCTCCCCATTACTAACAATCCCTTCCTGGGGGCAGCGCATGGGGGGTATCATAAGCGAAACAGTATACACTGTTATGTCCATGGTACTGCTCATGTCTATAGGCGACGGTTACCACTTTCCATCAAGTGGATCATCTGCTTGTTTGCCATTCTAAGTTGTGTAAAAAAATATATGTTGATCAACCAGGATAAAAAGTACCTTATATACTTTCCTATTTCATACAATAAGTGTGTATTAAATTTCATAGTGCTTGGTTAAGTTATTGACACACATATGGGAGGGTTGTTATTACAAAGTCTAATTTAGTAAAAGAAAATAAACATCCAACATATTTATTTATTTATTTTTATCCAAAGCCCAAAATACATTGTATAGGATAGATACTACGTAATAACATTTAAAAAATTATAAATTAAAATTACATTTACAGTTATTTACATGCAATACATTTCATTTTTTCTTTTTAATTATATTCAATTCACTTTGCAAGTTTATATAATCAATACATCAATACCTACAATATAATTTATACAATACACATACAATATGATTTGTATAACTGCATTACACTTATATAAATTATATTATTATATAAATGTTATATTTATACTTATATAATATATTATTATTATAAGATATTATAATCGCCGTTATATAAATCAATTAATTATGTCACACTTATATTTTTGTTTTTTTTTTATATATATAATATATTAGTCATACATATAATAATTTATTACTATTGCTCAAAAATTCATTTATTGTTGTCATTAAATAACTCATCTATGGAATAGTAACATAGCATAAATTGTGACATACGAATCGACATATATATATATTGCGAAATTGCAAGGATTTAGTTCCGTTCGTTTCAGCTAATAACATCGTAACAAGTTTGAAAGCGATGTCTGTGTGTCTGTGGCATTGTAGTTCCGGAATAGGTGAAGCAATTTATTGTGGTTTGAACCTCCGACGTTAAAAGAGGGGTGTAGTAATAAGTTTTCGGCTTAATCTATGTATTGTTTGCCACTATATATCTATTAATGGTATGGATCTTGCTGATTTCAATGATGCTTTTTTTAGTTCCTACTCTTAGTGTGAATAGAATTTACTTACTCTTGCATTTGATATAAAAACATATAGAACAATAAACTTAAAATAAAAAAACATATAATCATGCAAATTTATGAAGATGTTTGTATGAATATTATTCAATTAAAACAAAAGGCTAAACAGATTAGAGTGAAATTTGGTACAAGATGTTGTATATATTGATTTACTCAAGTAAAAACCCAGGAAATAGTTAACGTTATGCGTAATAAGGTAGGTAACTTTTTTTTTATACAACTTAGAATGGCAAACAAGCCCACCTGATGGAAAGTGGTAACCGTCGCCTATAGACATGAGCAGTACCATGGACATAACAGAGTATACTGTTTCGTCCATGATACCCCTTATGCGTTGCCATTCCTGAGGACTCAGGTGTTATTCCTCTGTACCTAGTAACTTCACGCCATATCCCACCCTTCAAACCGAAACATAGCCATGCAAACACAACTGCTTCACGATTGAAACACGAATGGGACAGAGGTACTCAAGTAATCGATTTTTGTACAAAGTCTCCCTCTGGTAAACTTAACTTTTGTTGATAAAATTTATTGCAATAATTTCAGCCCAACTTCTTGTAACGAAGATGATAAGGGAAAATACAAAATTTAAATACAAAATTTATTTAAATATATATTGTGTGTTTAAATGTATTGCGATGTGTACGATTTTACGGTCATACCCGTCTTTTCCCGCAACTTTGCCTGCATGACCGGAATATATTAATTGCCAGTGTAAAAAATAACTTATACACATTTCTGTCTAAAGTAGTATGTACATACACATACTATTTTATTTGTAATTTTCATGATTATCGGTCGAGCCGTAAAAAATTTAAAAGGTAACAGACAAACAAACAAATGCACTATCACATTTTTAATATTAGTAAGAATTATTAGTCTATTTTAACTATTTTATTCTATTTTAACTATTTTATTCTATTTTAACTATTTTATGAAAATAATCCAAGAACATCAATATAAAGTATGTATATATACAACGTTAGTAAACTCTTCATAAGTCTTACTTCATACGACTTACAATATTCTACGTGTATGGTATGTCCAGTTGTGTAATCGACGTATAAAATTGCCATTACAAAAATATAAATGAGTACATTCGTAGTATTATAAAAATTATTAACAATTATGCGGGTAGGAGACAATCACATACAAAATTGTAGCAGCAAACGACGGTACTACATTGGATATTATACTAAAAATTTTGAGTTAATTAACGCTTTATTTATCCTATCTCCCGACGAGTTAGTGTGACTGTTTTTTATTTTTTTAATAAAATAAATCTTTAAAATATAAAAATGGAACCTCCGAAGCCAAAGAAAACTGGCAATCCCCATGCATGTGAAGAAGGTATGGACGATTTACCAAAAGACTATAGAAGTAAGGAAAAAAGAAGTGCCCATGTTCCTCCTCCCCCTCGACGCAGGCGCCCACGACCACCCGTGGTAGATCCTGATGTATCATCGGACAGTAGCGCTTCTATCGAGGACTCATCACCAGACAATCCACCGGAGACCGAACCTGAACAACCAGCATCGGCAGAAGAACAGAGTACTACTCCCGAAGCTCAAGAGGAACCTAATGTTGTTGACGAGGAATCTGTACCCGAGCTCACGGAGAGGTGTCCAGAGCCACCTCCAGAAGAACCAGAGAAATTATCACCGGAGAATCTTGCGAAAAGAAGACGGGCCTCGTTGTTAATGTTGCCCGAAGATACATCAGCACTAACACTTCCTCTTGAAAGAACTATGAGGTTACTGGCGAGGGACGCCGCGGCTACGCCTTTGTTAAGCATGGGCGGGCCATCGACAAGTTATCAAGTAGACTGGTCACAACCATCGACTAGTCAGCAAGCAGGCTCGTCACGCCCATCGACTAGCCAGCAAGAAGACTGGGCACGTCCATCGACTAGCCAGCAGGAAGACTGGGCACGCCCATCGACTAGCCAGCAAGAAGACTTGGCACGCCCATCGACTAGTCAGCAAACAGAATGGTTGCGCCCATCGACTAGTCTTCAAACAGACTCGCCACGGCGGTCTTTATCTTCGTCATGTGACTCCGCGGGTGTACCAGGTGCATCGCGATGGTCTACGTCGGTATGTGCCGATGACGAATCAATGGATTCAGATATTAGACTACCATCGTATCCGCCGAGTCAAGAATCGCGAAGTCAATCGACTGCAACAGAAATTGATGAAGATCCTGATACGCAGCCAATGGAATGGTCGCCACTCCCGGAGCCGTCTGCTGGTAAACGTCTTAGTGTGACGTCAGATTCATCTATGCCGGAGATACTCAAAGGAGTAGAAGATACACAGCAAACAGAGAGAGATGAGCCGGTGAATATTTTTAGTTATTTCTGGTCACATTTATTTATTATTAGATAGCTGCTTCTCGCGGCTTTGCTTGAGTAAATCAGCATATACAGTACTCTATATGTTAATTTACAGTTTAAGCTACCCATTTACCAAATTTCATCCAAGTCCGTTTAAACATGATCGAGTTACGGAAATACAAACATTCAAACATATTCATAAACTTTTACATTTACAATTTTAGTAAATTTAAGACTAGTTTCTCGCGGTACCCGCGTGCATTTTGTTATTATCCATTCCTGTGGCAATTTCATAAAATACCTTCTTAATGTTTAATATTTTATGCAATTTGAAATGGTAAATGTGAGCCCATCATCAAAAGTGGTAACCGTCGCCTATAGACATAAAGAGTACCAGAAGTATAAGATAAAATTTAATACTTAGACCCTACATTATTCTTCACTTAATAAAACAACTAAATCGAAACAGATATCATTTCGTGTTGTAGGTAAGTAACAAATATAAACTTCTATGTTTTCGTAAATATGGAACTACTGCACATCAGAGTTGGTAAATACTGAAAATGTCATATTATTATTTTGTGAACAATATTTGTGATTTTCTTCATTTTCCTAAATTCATTTAAATAAAGTTAATTCTACTAGCGCGATCGATTATGTTATTGGATACGAAAAAAATCGGGTAGATAGAATTTTTTCTAATAAAAAATATTTTACGCCATATTGCGTTTACTTTAAAAGAAAAAGTGATTTACTATTTCTACGTCACCATACTATAAAGTACACTGGGACAATTTGACGTGTTGTGTTATTGTTTTGAATTTGAAAACAATGTGTGACCCGGACAACCCGAGTGAATCGACGAATCAGCAAAGTTCAGTTGATGCCACTTGTGATCCAGTACCGAACGTGAATCCTGATCAAGAAACACCTGATCTTTCCCAATCATCTGATCCTATCACCGTAGAATCTCAAGAGAGAACCTTGTGTAGACCAATTACATTATGTATTTGCGGTTATAAGCCAAACCAGGAGGCAACGCAACTTGAAGTAAAACCGCCCCAGTCAATATCGGAAGACACCAGAGAATCCACGGGTGGTACGATCTATCCCGGCTCCGGATCGTCACCAGATTCTGAGGTAACCTTCGATAGGCAAGCAACAATGGCCCTATCTATGTCTGTGACCTCACTGTCCACGGATACAGTGTCACCGTACAAAGACTCGTTACCTTCAGATATCAGTGGCTGTTCATCTCACTACACGTCCATGGATAGCCTATCTGTTACATCATCAGGCCAGGCTGCTCCTCCAGAATACGTGGTTACAGAACCGACACCTCCAGCGGAGCCGGTACAGTTAGCAGTGAAACCACATTCAAACCTTGAAACATATTCAAGTAAACCGCCAAATGTTGCGGCATTAGACACAACAAAAATTGACGTATCAAAACTGCAAGAACCATCGGCGTTGCCGGCTGTTCTCGAAGATCCAAGCTCGGTGGAACCTTCAGCTCCGTTACCATTTATCGTATTTAAACCTACAGATTTATTGCCAATTATATTCAGTCCTGAAGCTCCGACATCAGTTGAAATCGAAACTGAAAGTGAAAGGAAAAAACGGAGGCTGGCTAAATCGCATCCACAACCCTCAGAGCCCTCGATACCGCATAAGAGGATACATTCTGATCCAGCACCGAGGAGTACTAGGCTCAGCTCGTCGGATACGGTGGTGTCTTCAGCAGACACGTGTTCGGACATGTCTGACCCGTTGTCACCGGATGCTAGCGAAACAGCGAAATCTTTTTCCGATGCAGCACAGTTTTCACAATCGACGACTCTGCAATCACCATTGACTTCGCCGTCATCGAAATGCCCGCCAGAAGGTCTACCGGTAAATTAATAATTTCATTTTTAAATTTATTATTTTTAAATTATTTATTTTGGTTAGCTGTTTTTTTAAAGGGTGATAATGGAATGCTAACCCCGCCTACGCTATCGGTATACGCTGCCGGGGCACCAGTGAGGGATGATAGGTGGGGATAAAAAGGCAGGTCAGTTCCCCATTGTGACGAATTTCACTGGAATTAACCACGACGGTTTACAGGGGGAGCCGCGTGGAGGTCGACCTGACATGATATATTGCCAGTGGGACTGGTAGGTCGCATTACTTACAATCTCTCCCCCCCCCCCCCCTAGTTAATTAATTAAAATTATGTTGTTTGTATACCGTTAGCGCAGGTAGGGTTACCATTACATTATTATCTATTAAAAAAAACTGCTAGGTACGCCCGTTTTTTTTTATCATAACAAATAACTGTCTGCAATTGTAAATTAATATGAGACTAAAACATATTGTTAATAAAAGGGATAATTATAATCTCTTTAGAATTTAAGAAGCAATCACGTACAATACATACACACATATATACAAACAAAAAATGTCGAATTGAGAACCTTGTCGTTTTTGAAGTTAATAATATTTGAATGAATTACAACATAGTTAATTAAATAGAATAACGACATACTGTAAAAACTATTTATTTATTTATTCATTAGTACAAATATGTGTACATGGCGGACTTAATGCTAAAAGCGATAAATAAATACCAGAGGGAGACTTTGTACAAAAGTCGATTGCTTGGGTACCTCTGTCCCATTCGTGTTTCTACCGTGAAACAGTTGTGTTTGCATGGCTGTGTTTCGGTTTGAAGGGTGAGATGTGGCGTGTATTTACTGGGTATAGAGGAATAACACCCGAGTCCTCAGGAATGGCAACGCATGGGGGGTATCATGGGCGAAACAGTATACTCTGTTATGTCCATGGTACTGCTCATGTCTATAGGTGACGGTTACCACTTTCCATCAGGTGGGCAGTCAGCTTGTTTGCCATTCTAAGTTGTATAAAAAAAATAATAAAGAATGTTCCAAATCAGTTTAAAATTAATGGAGTTATGAAGTGACAAACATGAAAGAATACTAATAGGAAACCTTCCTTCTTTTTGAAGTCGAGAAAAGACAAGCTTTTTTCATCTTCCAAGCATCTTCTCTTAGTCGTATTGTTCTTTATCTGGCTATCTATCTATCTATCTATACTATTTAAGAGCTACGCTCTTGTCGGTGGAGCTCTTGCCACTCACTGTCTTTTTTTTTACAAACGAGCATGTGGCTCACTTGATGGTGAGTGACCACCGCCGCCCATGATCACCCACAACACCAGCGGCATTGCAGGTGTGCTGCCGGCCTTTTAAAAAGGAATATACTCTTTTCTTGAAGGTTATGTTGTCGTATCGGTTCGGAAATACTGCTGCTGGAAGCTGACTAATTTGTTTAAATACTTATCTCTCTTAAGTAGTACACTCTTGTTAGAGTGGTCGTGGTTTTTATAACGATAGTGGATCGTCGATGAGGCTCTCCTTAGCGACTGAGGTCCTCGCAATACTTATATACTAATAACTCCTACTAATACCTCGCAATACTTATATTAAAGATATATTTAACAAAGTATGTTTGTATTAGCACAGAATTTATCATTGCTTTCTACACTAGGCCGAGCCTGTACTGTAGGAAGCAGTACTCGCGTTATCATATACTCGTACATGCATACACAGGCTTTTTAGCAGTACTGACAATTGTGTAACTAATTTGTATAATGCAATTATTTCATTTAGATCTCACCACCAATACACATGTATAAATAAGTATTATGAATGTGTGTGTGTGTGTGTGTATGTGTGTGTGTGTCTGTGGTGTATTATAGTAATAATTCTAGTCTATCTGAATATAAGTTAATGAAAATGCAATCAAATCTTATTAAAATTGTTGCAGGAACACCTTTCTGTCTTATAGTTCAATTAATTATTCCTTTGTTTACATTTTTATTAAGTTTAATTAAAACGGACTATACATACTTAAATATAAGTCCCGTTTGGAAGTTTCCTAGATTGTCACGTGTTCGGAATGCATGGAAGGCAAGGTTTTAAGATACATAGACAGATACATAGATACTCTTTATTGTTTCCTCCAAAAGATTACAATAGTAAACTTATTATAGATACAAATAATTACAGAAAAAAAAAATTATAAATCTTGCTGTCGCATAATTTGGATTAAATTTTGTACGGTATAATTACATATTTATTATAACTATCGGGTAGTTCGGAGTCTAATAATTTAATAGTATAACTTGGTGGTAGACAGATGATGTGTGCGGAAATACGCCATTTTGAATTAATCGTGCGAACAACTTTGCTTCACTCTGAAGCTTAATTTACAAAAGTGATTAAAAGAAATTTATTAATAATTCAAAATGAGTAATCCCGATCAAAAACGTGAAGAACCCTCACAAGAACCTGCAGAACAACAGGAGCAAAGATTCGAAGTAGAATCCGACAGTGACTTACAAACTTTTAATGTGACCAGTAGCCCGAAGCCGCCTACACCAATCTTCCGAGATACACCCATAGAGTTTACATCTGCATCTGATGACACGACTGAAAGAACCGTCATGCCATCAGTCAGCATGCCAACAGACACGCATTCTCCACAGCTCGCGTCCGACACAGAGGCGTCAGCTTCCCTACCGTCTGATTCCGATCCCGCCAAGATCGAGTCGAGAGAACGTGGAGCAGATTCACCAGGTGTAACAGACGACACAGACTCGAAAGCCTCTGACCTTCCTTTGGATCCATCAGAGAAGCAAAGTAAACCATCATCAGAGAGGCTTGGAAGGAAAAGTAGGTGTTCCCCAATACAGTCACGTTCATCGCTACCATCTCTGGTACAACCACAAGTGGCAGTGAAGAAGCACCAACTGTTACCAATAATCACCTTGCAAGTAAATCCTAATTTGGCACCGATAGCCCTTGAATCTAGAAAGAGGGCGACAGCCTCTAGTTCTGTGTCGTCCACGTCTGACCCTTCGCCTATTGAGGAGAAGGTACTGAGGCAGATGATTGGCGTGAAGCCACCGTTCACAAGGTCCATGACGACGGCTTTGTTAGAT